TGAGAGAGCCAGGTTCATCGTAGAAAAGGTAAGTGTACCTCCTTGGGAGGCTTCAGCTTAGTCACCAGTCATCTCAGCTCATCTGTTTTCTACCCCAGGTAGTTACAACTTGTAATTTGCCCAGCCCATGCTTTTGTGGGACTTAAGGATGAATGCTTTGGGCAAGTGTATGTCACAAAATACTCAAGCTCAGTCTGTTCTTAAGAGCGTTATTTCAAAGTTGTGTAGCTTGGGGCTCTTTATGTTAGTGTAGGCGCTCTTTAAAGATGTTGTGCTTCTTTCAAAATGACTGAATAGAAATGCTTTCATGAGGTAGTTAAGTACAGGCACCTTCTGTTGCAAGTGCCAAGGCTTGAGATCTAGAAATAGAATGGCCACTTAAGCTGCCATGGTGTGTGTAGTGTGCCCATCTTACAGGCGGGCACACTATACCTCTTTCACATGGGCACTGTGCAGCTTCTCTGTTAGCAGTTCACTCTGACATCTATTGCTGATCTGAGTGAAGAATGTATGTTTTCATAGGAACAGCTTAGTAGAATTCCTTAGCAGTGCTGCAAACACAAAAGCCTTGTGCTGATGGAGGAAAACTGACCATCAGCAAAGTGAAATTGATTTGGCTTTGCTAGCTAAGATAAATGTTGGGCAAAAAAGTAGCTAAATAGTCATTAGTGGAAAAAAAATTAATATTTCCCGTTGCAATGCAGGGGGATTATTGATATGATCATCTTTATGTAGGTATTCTTAATCTTGGTAATGTCCATATTGTCCAGCAATGGTCTGGTCTTGTTAGAGCTATGTGTGAGGGACAGAAGAGAGAATTTAGGACTTGAAATTACCTGAGGTGGCAGCTGCTTTGCAGGCTTTTCATTGTTAGTATTTCTCCCCTTCACACCCATTCTTGTTTGCTTTTTCTTGCAGGCTGAGCAGCAAAAGCAAGCAGCAGTCATCTCTGCTGAGGGAGACTCAAAAGCAGCCGAGATGATTGCCAATTCACTGGCCACAGCAGGTGACGGCCTGATTGAACTGCGTAAGCTGGAGGCAGCTGAAGACATTGCCTACCAACTTGCGCGGTCCCGCAACGTCACATACCTGCCAGCAGGACAGTCTGTGCTTCTCCAGCTCCCCCATTGAATCTAACTCTGCAGCTTCTATTCACTTCTTATTGAACAGATTAGCCCTAGCCAAAAGAATCAGTGAGGTTTCCTGATTGGATAAAGCAAAGGAAATAAAATTTAAATACATTTGAGTTAATTATAATAATAAAACCGCTCTCTAGGAACTAACTGAATTTGTCAGACAGCCTTGTACAATCCGAGCAGAAGCTGCAATAGCCAGGTTGGGACAGACTTACCTCTTTTCAGGCAACGTTAGTATTAGGGGTAAAGTTGGGGGAAGGTGAGAGAGCAGAAGTGTCTTAATCTGTTTACTTCTTAAATGAAGTAATTACGTAGAGCATTCTCTGGCCATAAAAAAATCTGTACCATTGAGGTTTGCTTCAGTGCCTTTTTGCCAGCCAAGCCATGGTCATTACAGGCTTGTGTGCTCTAGACTACTGCTGTTTTGTCCCTGCGGTCTGTTCAAAGGGGTTGGGATTGTTGAGGCCTTTCTTCATCAATCAGTCTGTCCAGTATTTTTACAGGTGTCAGCTGAAGGTAAGAGGACACTTCTTGTTAGTTTAGCAGTTCTGCTGTGACTTTCTGAACCACGGCGGTGTTAGTAGGAGGTGCCGTTTATGGAATGGGGGGGGGGGTCTCACCCTTTGCATTCCAAAACATAAGACTTTCCTGACATGGAGGTGAAGATATTCCTCTTTGGCAGGAAACCTTGGTCTGGTAAGTACTGGAAATTAGTGTATCCTTCCCCCTCAACCCCATACACACTCTACTGATTGCTGTTACTCCCTCTAGCACAGGCTTGGTAAAGGAGTTTGGATCTACTTTAGGATGGAAGTCTGACAGAATCTGTCTTATTGTTCCATGGTTCAGTCACTCAGATATGGGCAGTATTTACTGCTGCATTGCCACTTTTTTTTTTTTTTTTTTATTAGGGAACTTAAATTACAATGGAGACATAAGAGATGAGACTGTATAACCAACTTTCAATAAACAAAAACAAACCTCCAGGCCTCTGGTGTCTTGGCATTCTTAAATAATTAAGTTCTGGAAAAAAATGCCACTTGCTTTTTTGGCTCTGGTATTTAGCTGAAGCTATATCTGCTTCTTTCTTAGACCTGAGGATGGGCATTCAGTGCCTGAAAGCTTGTCTCATCTCTCTCAGCTACATAGTTGGTCCAGTAAAAGTTATTACCAAACAAACACTGCTTGCATATGCTCTGGAACATCATGCCTGTGCTACCACTATGACTGTGAAACATGAGGCTGTGACTGAAGAACCTAAGCCAGGGGTCATCAACAGAGATCTGGAAAAACTACAGATTCCATGTTTTTATCGGAGAAGGCACGGATTTCCCGTTTTAGCAGAGAAATCCGCGGATTCTCCGCTTTTGCAAAGAGCTCTTGCAGGCTGGCTCAGCTCCAGCCTACAAGAGCTGATTGCAGAAAGGGTGGGAAACCCCCAGTCCCCAGTGTGGTGGTGGCCGTGGCCGGTGCGGAGTGGTGGTGGAGATGACTGCATGCTGCCACCACAGTGCCGCTGCTGCCATGCCCTGCAGCTAGCCGCACAGCTCCGGGCATGGCTCTGCAGCGGTAGCAGGAGGCTTTGTACGCAGTAGCTGTCTCCACTGGCACAGCCCCACAGATAAGCAGCAGCAACCGCTGCGTGCGAGCTACCCACCCAGCCACCATCCCTCACCACCGCTGCAGAGCCGGCCACGGAGCTATGCAGCTGGCCGCGTGCAAGCCTCCTCCCCTGGGCAGGCGGCATGTGCATGGTACGCACAGGGCAGGCACCACCACACTGCGCCCCACATAGCTTGTCTGCAAACCCCCCTGCAGAGGGGCACCCCTGCCCTCACACTGGCCTTGCATCTGGCTGCAGTGTGCCGCCTGGGGCCGGCAGCACCCACTGCTCCCTCAGCCTCTGACCATCTTCCCCAGCCCTCCCCCAGTCCCTAAGCCCCACTTACCTCTGGGATGAAAGGTATGGCTCCACAGTAGCAGTGCTTGCTCACATAGTCCCTGCAGCCAGCATGCAGCCACCACCACCCCGCACTGCTGTGGAACTGTACAGCCTGTTGCAAGGCATAAGCAGCAGTGCAGTGGTGGCCGCTGCATGTAAGCCCCGCTTTTCACCCCTTGGTTGGGTGGCACATATATGGCCCACGCACTGGTTGCCACCGCGCTGCAGCTACCGTGTCCTGCATCACTTGCCCACAAAGCCACGTGGGTAGCCGTGGGATGGTAGCGCAGGGTGTAGCAGCAGAGTTGCAGTGGCGGTCTCCGTGTGTGAACCCCATCAGGCCAGCCAGTACATGTGTGGCCCTCAAGAGTGGCACCCCTGCCCTCACCCCCTGGTCCTGCTCCTGAGAGTGGGCACAAAGGCACACACTCCCCCTTGATCTACCCCACCAGCACCTTCCCTGCTGTGTTCCCCCACACACACACTTACCTGCTGGGGTGGGTGTCAGTGTCTGTGTGCCTCTGTCTACATGTCTGTGCCTATGTGTCTGTGTCTCCGGGTTTGGGGGGCTATGAAGGGCATCAGGAGGGCTGTTGGGGGGGGGAATAGTATGGGGCACCAGCAGTGCTGGGGGGAGCTGTGGGGGGCCTTTAATTTTGATCACGGATTTTGGGTTTTTAATCAGAGAATACCAGGATCCCTGGTCATCAACCAGGGGTACGCATACCCCTGGGGATACTTGGACTGGTCCTAGGGGGTATGTGCAGGCGGGTGGGAACAGAGTGATGCTGCCTTCTAGGAACAGGGCCGGGGTGGGGTGAGGAAGCTTGTGCATGGCAGTAGCCGCCACCACCAACCAGCCCAGTGAGCTTCCCCGCCTTGCAGAGGGGTGCCACTGCACTCACCCTGCCCTGGCCCTACTCCTGGGAGACGGTGGCACTTGGCTGCGTGCCACGCTGCTGGGGGTACTTAGACTAAAAAAGGTTGAAAACCCCTGACCTAAGCAGCTGATAGATCCCCTGGATCAAAAAAGCCTTGCACCTTGGGATCGATGCTTTGGTAATGGGCAGGGCTTTACCAACATGGTTGTGGTTAAAGTATAACTTGATACAAACATCTTGAGCCAGGAAATCATAGTATCACACAAAATTAGGGTTGGAAGGGACCTGAGGAGGTCATTTAGCCCAACTCCCTGCTCAAAGCAGGACCATCCCCAACTAGATCATCCCAGCCAAGACTTTGTCTAGCCAGGTCTGAAAAACCTTTAAGGATGGAGATTCCACCGCCTCTCTAGGTAAACTATTTTAGTGCTTTACTACCTTCCTAGTAAAGTTTTTCCAACATCTAATCTAAACTTTCTTTGCTTCAACTTGAGACCATTGCTCCTTGTTCTGTCATCTGCTACCCCTGAGAACAGTCTAGCTCCATCCTCTTTGGTACCCACCTTCAGGTAGTTGAAGGCTGCAATTAAACCCCCACCTTGGTCTTCTCTTCTCCAAACTAAATAAGCCCAGTTCCCTCAGCCTCTCCTCACAAGTCATGCCCCAGCCCTTATCCATTTTTGTTGCCCTCTGCTGGACCCTCCAATTTGTCCACATCGTTTCCGTAGTGGGTGGGGAGGGGGCAGCAAAACTGGACACAGTACTCCAGATGTGGCCTCACCAGTGCTGAATGTGGGGGAATAATCACTACCACGAGGGGAAATTAGATGAGAAATAGTACCATGCGTCTCCTGGCTGAGAATCAAAATGAAGAGTAGTTATTGGGAAACTTTTATTCATTGGTTTTGACTTGAAATCAGCTGAAAGGGCTTCTGTCTTGCCTGGCTCAACCTCAGACCCAGCATATGGCCCAGTAGATGGGCACTAGACTGATAGGGCTGACAGATCCCACAGCTGATTCTCACTGACCTGCTTGTGTTTTGGGGAAATCACTTCATCTCTCAGTACTTGATTCCCCATCTGTTAATGGGTACTGTGACCCTAAAAGTGCATTAGTCCTTTCATTTTGAGATACATCCAGATTCTGAGCTTCAACTTAAGGAAGGAAAACACAAATTACAAGGATACAATCTGTATGGGGCATATAAGAGCCAAAAGGATTTTATATCCTCTTCTTGAATGTAAGATTGTGGCCATTTCATTTTAAAAGTACATTTTACTTGAAAGATGATGGTAATATCTCAGCACTACTTATCCAAGTTTGATCTGTACTCTGGAAGCACCAAGGACCCCAGTTAGAGCCCAGCTGCATTAGCCACTGTAGAACACTAAACAAGGACTATCCCTGCCCTGAAATCTTACAGGCTGTTAACAAGATCCTGACTCTCTCAGTCCTAGAGTGCAAGGTAAACAAACTCCTGCCTACTTATTGGTGCTCAAACTGAGCACTGGTTCTGTATGACTCAACTCAGCTCTGATATGTTCTAACCTGAAACCACCTATATGGCAAGAAAAGGACTTTGGCTGAATAGTCCTATGTGGAAATTGCCTGGATAAAAGTGGATTCAGTTCTTCCTGTGTCAGCTCACTATCACTGCCATCCCTTCTTCTGGGAGGAGTCAGTTTCTCACCTGAGTCAGCCTTGCAGCCGGGGGACTTTCTTAAGCAACATTACTGCATAGTATCAACATCACTGAAACGTAAGTACTGAGTCAGCAAAAACCCACTGCCTTTGGGGCAGTACCATTCTGCTTCAAGTATTCTGTTTTCTCTTATGCTAATATTCAGGTGGAATAGCAGCGCTTAAAGAAATGGTTGCTTTACCCCAAAGCCAGAAGCAAAGGGGTTAAGTGTACATAATGCTACAGTAGTATCCCAGGAGATCCTATATACTTCCTTCTTCCATCCAGGTCTCAGGATGTTGGCAGTGTAGCCTAGTCTAAAGGAAGCAGCATGTGCTATCTTAATGACCTGCTTTAGCATATAAATGAGTAATTAGTGGTGGTAGGGACACCTGGTCAGGAAGGACATGCTTATTTCATAGAGGAGAGCCCCAAACTGCTATCACATGGTCCTTTTTGACCTTTGTGCAGGAATCCAAGTAGTGCCATGGAGGTGAAAAACCAATCTTCCCCTCCAGTCCTCTTTCTATTGGGCAAGTTGCTTCAGTGATGAGGTGCCTGGGCTTGCAAAGCACTTTAAATGTGCTAGCAGAAGACATATAATTCCCAAATAACTTCCAGACCTCCTTCCCCTCCACCACTCTCATTCTTTATTCCTGTTTTATTGCTTTAGACAGTGTTTTAAGGAAGCTTCCACACTTTTCCCATGGCTCCCTTTAAACACCCTGAGCATTTCCTGCATTTGTCTAGATTGAGTTTCATGCACCAGGTGTTGGCTCAGAGAAGTAGATCTAAAAATCCCTTCTCAGCTTCTGTGGTTCTGTATTCCCTCTTCCTTCAACTCTGTTTGCAGTGGAGTGTAGCATTTCTTGCTGCTTTTGCTGTTAGCCTCACTGAAGAAAAATGATTGAAAGCTCAAACACTGGCCTCTGGGCCTTATTACACTCACTGTTTCCTCCTCTTTAGGATGTAATTCTTTTAGCAAATGTTCAGAAGCTGCCGTCTACCCTGTTACCTCACTCTGCCTCCCTCTTCCCCTTTACCCCCAAAACAAACCTGCCCTGAGACTACAAATGTCAACGATCCCCTTGAAGGCTGTATCATTCCCATCATGTGCGGATTCAATCTGTT